TTTCAGGAAAAAAAGATACAAGGTATAAAAAAAAAAAACAGATCAAAAGGTGTGAAAGTAAAACTAGAGCTGACAGTTGAGTGTGTTTTGAAGAGAAGCAAGAACAAGGGAGTGGGAAAGCCAAGGCACTGGCATGGAAAGATGGAAAGTTCTAAAACAATTATGAAAGCTTGTGAATGTGTATTGAAGTTCAGCTTATTTAAGGGAACAGTTTTGTGCTATGGTCATTGGCCGTCTGTTTAAATTTTTTTAAATCCTAACCTTTTCTATTTATATGATTGTGCACAGCATGGTTAGCTTACTGGAATCTGTCTTCTTATTTGTGCAACAGGAATAATTACACTTTCCTTTTGTAGTAGGAACTTTGTGAAGCATAGATACTATTAGCTCCCCATTGAACGTCTTCTCAGGTGCCTGCCAAGCAACACGCTTCACTCGGCTCCGTACCTCAGTGTAGATAAGTTGCTTTCAAGCATACATTCTCCTCAGAGCTGTAATTTCAACATAATAAATGACAACTAATACATTTCTTAAATTAGTAAATTATGATAATAAAATTAATTTTCCGGGGTTGAGAGCACACCTCAGTGAGCTTAGCAAGCTTAACGTCCTGGGTTGAGTGCCCAACACCAAAACTGAATAACTTTATGTTCTAATTATGGCAACCTACTTCATATTTAACCTGTACCTACTGAAAGGATATAATAAAAGTAAAGTATGTAAGACAGTCAAATTCTTATAAATAAATAGTGGTTCTCTTCCCACTGGAAGCAATGCACAGTTGTTTGATTTTGCAAAGTACAACAATGATAATAACCATCCTTTACTGTTCTCATTTTTTTTGTTTTGTTTTGTTTTGGTATTTTGCACTGAGATATATTTAGAGTGCTTCACACACACCCCTCCAGATTTTTGTTTTCTTTTTAAAAAAAATTATTATTATTATCATTATTATTATTATTTTGTATTTTAGGGAAGGGTCTACAGGGTGTTCAGGGTCTCATTACTAGATCCAACTCATAGTGATCCTCCTGTTTACAGCCTCCCAAGAGCTGGGATTATAGGCACACACCACCAAGCCATCACAATTGCCATCTCAGTGCACCCTGAGGACAGGGCTGGCACAGCAGGCCCAGGGATCGAAATCCCGCCCTCTGTGCCTGCTTGCAGACACTTTAATCCCTGAGCTATTTGGTAGGCCCTTAAATTTATTTATTTATTTATTTATTTATTTATTTGGTGCAGGATGTTGCTACACAGCTTGAACTCATAGTGATCTTCTTGTTTCAGCCTCGCCAGAGCTGGGATTACAGGCATGCACCACTGTGCCCAGTTTCAGTGGCCAGCATGGTGTGCCTTCCAGGTCTGGCATGGTATGTAGTACAATGGATAGAACCTGGGTCCTCATGCTTACCAGGCTCAGCTTAGACTGCCAAGTCATCTCCCCAAACCTTGATTTTCTTATTTTCAGAAGGAGTCTCATTAAGACACTTAGTTGTCCAGGCTGGACTCAACCTTGCAAACCTCTTGCTTCTGCTTCCCAAAGTTCTGGGATTATACTACTGTGCCAAGGATATTCATCCTTAATAAGAAATATTGGACATGTAGTAATGTAAATGCATTAAGTGTGGAAAATGTTATAAAGATCTAGCATTGGGGACCTGCTAAATTAATAGAGTTGTAGTAACAGAGCAGAGAACTAAGGAACAGGGTGAGAGAGAAGAGGCAAGAACAAATATGCTTTAGAGGAGAAAAGGGCCAGAGCGAGAAATCTCATACTACCTCTGTGTTCTGTGGTGGCAGGTCCCACACAACTTGTGTGTTTTCAGAGCCTTGCTAGGTGATAGCATGTTCTGAGCAGGCACTGCAGATAGAAAAATGTGTGCTAATAGCAGATTTGTGTTGTATGGCTTTGGAAGATAAAGAAGAAAAAAGAAAAACAATGCCAAACACATACTAGAGTTTGTAAATGAAAAAATGGCCTGCAGAACAAAACCCAAAACTGAAAGGAATTACTATCTAAGTTGGTTTCTTCAAAAATAGTCAAACTACAATCTGATATCTTCATTACTGTTTTTACTTTCAAAATTATACTTTTACTACTTAATCTTGCAAATTTAATTTTTCATGTAAGAAACACGTTAAGTTTTTAATTGAATAATTCATTAAAATAGGGAATACACTATATGCTCATTTCTAGAAGACTGAATAAATCATGATGCACTGATAAATGGTACAGTATACAAGCAACATGGAAAAATTACAAGTCTTCTATATGTACTGATATAAAGAAAGCTATGTTATATTATCAAGTGAGAAAATAAGAAATAGAGTAGCATGCAAGCTGTGGTACAAATTATTTGGAAAATATAATTATATACATTTATAAACACATGGACTATCTCTGAAATAATTTACAAAATTCTACAAATGCAATTGTGTGATAGACAAATCAGTTGACTGGGACAGGAAAGGAAGAAAAGAGATACTATAAACTGTTGGAAGTACTTTAAACCTGTTTTTGCATCTTTAGGACCTGGTTGCATTTGCCTCTGTCACCTGTTCAAAAACTGAAAATGATAATTATTCCAGTAGCCCATGTTTCCATTTCATCTTATCTCTGCCATAATTAATTTCTGCTGGATGCTAGTGACTATTAATAATGCATGTTTGATAGCTAAAAGTCAAAAAGTCTTTGCATGTACCCGTCTTTCCAAACTGCTTATTTTCTTGTCCATTTTTCTGACTGATTCCTACATTTCTTGTCACCTACTCTAAGAAAAAAAAAAGCCATGTCTTCTGCAATCATTATGAGGGGTCTCTTGGTTACTTCTTACATTGTAGTACTAATCATATTACTGTAAATTCATTTTATATGTTTATATTTATTACCAGGTTTTTCAGTATTATAATGTAAATACATCAAATGTCTTGATAATAGTTATATCTCTTACTATAGTTATGGTTAATAATGGCTAATCTACCCCTATATACTGTAGATATTTATATGTATATTTTAATTTTTTTTATATTTTATGAATGACTAAATTACTTTCATAGACCCCAACATACACCTATGTCATAGTTTAGTAGGGCTTGTTGCTAACTACTAAGCTCCTAGGACTGGTATAGGACATTATCTGAAGTATTATAGCATGGCATGCCCAACAGATGACATCAATGGTACGTTTAATGTTACTTAAAATGTCTTAAAGACAAGGGCCAGCAAGTTGATGTGTAGTGAGACCCTGTAACAAATACATTTTTTTTAAAAAATGTCTTGTAGATGCAAGGGGCATACCCATCAATACATAAAGCAGAAAAACTTCAGATGTTAGTGAGACCTTAAGTATAAATTTGAGGTCACCCACATTGAAGTGATTTAAGGATGTATAAAAAGAAGAAAAAAATGGAATCTTGTAGAGAAAAATTAAGTAAGCCTCAATAAAATCTTTGAAAAAGTCCACATTTAAAGGAGAGGGAGAGGGAGAGAGAGAGAGAGAGAGAGAGAGAGAGAGAGAGAGAGAGAGAGAGAGAGAAGCAAGCATTGGGACAAAAATCTGTAACATTCACATCTTAAAGGTGAAAAGGTTTCAGAGCCTCAGGGGCTGGCTGGGCCTGTTATAGAAACATGAGGAGTGGGGTGGAGGAGAAAGTTGCTGAACTTATATCAAAGAGGCACAGACAGCTCAGAAGAAGAGACAGAGAGGAAGGGGCCACGTGTGATACCATTTCCAAGGTTTTGGTCCATGACTCACTTGGACAAAGAAGTTCACACAGAAATGCGCTTCTTCAGTGTGTTCCTGGATATTTCTCAAGTCAATCATTTGACAATCAAGATTTAATTATCGGGCTGGTGAGATGGCTCAGTGGTCTAAAGCACCTATTTAGAACAAGCTAAGCAAAACACAGGGACCGCGGTTCAATCCCCCAGCACCACAGGCCAGCCAGCCCTGCCCCCTGGTGGGCTGAGCTGGCCACACACAGACACAAAATAAATAAATAAATAAATAAATAAATAAATAAATTTAAAAAATAAATAAATAAAATAAAATAAAATAAAAATAAAATATTAAAAAAAAGATTTAATTATCATCAGAGGCTAAGGAGAAACACTTGTATCAAATGGAAGATTAAAAGCATAAGGCACAATGCAATATCATTGTATTTGGCTCTGAAGAAATTCCATTTACTTATTCACTTTTTCAGACATGCTCATTTTGGAATAGAATCTAAAATATGTAGAGAGTAAGTCCACTTCCTTAAATATATTTCCATAATTACTATATATTATGCTATTTCGATAGCACGCATACTTCGAAAATAAATTGGAGAAACAATACATAGCTTGTGGAGCATATCTTTTATGAAACAGTCCTGTCATATCTACAATTCTCTCTAATTTGACTCCCCACCTGAAGAAAATTTAAAAGAAAAATACAACCATTTGAAAAAGCAGGACTGATGCCAGGACTTTGACTAGAAATGAAAGAAAAAGCTGACTGAAAAGCAAAAACATACCCTTGAGGTGAAAGGAAAGCCCTGCTCTTGAGTCAGGGAAAAGGAAGGAGGACATCTACAGAAAGCTTGTGCCAAGGGGTAGAAGAGAAGGCTCCTGCCTGTTGACCTTTATATATTCTGTAAAATGAGTTTTGGAAAAGGAATGGGCTTTGTGATGTGGAAGAAATTTCAAACAGGCATTACACAGAGTCTGTTTGCTTTATCAAAAAAGCAATAAAAGGAATTTTGGTTAGAATTAAGGGCCTGTTCATATAGCTTAGACTCTTCTGATTTAGGTATCATATAGCTAGAGGCCCTGTGCTCTGGAAACCATGTAGCAGTCAAGGAAAAAAATAGAGGAATGAAGATATCCAAGGTATAAGAAAGAATTGGAAGATTAATTGTACTCGATGAAAAACTCAAGGAGGTATTAAATACAAACTCTATCCTGAGGTAAATGCTGTTTATTTTAATTTCATAAAGTTAAGTAACTTTAATTTTGTTTTTGTGCTTCTGATAACATTTCAGTGTCTTCAACCCAGATTTCACAACCAAGTATTTACAAAGTAGAAGAGAACAAACAACCTGTATTTATTCTAGAGACAAAAAGTGAACCTAACTATCCTGAAGAGCTAAGGGAATCTAACCAGCAAGCAGGTATTCACATTCAAGAACAACCAGGATCATCTAACGAGCCAGAAAAGCAGCAGGATTTTCATCAGCAAGGGAGACCAGAAGGTTTGAGCCAGTCTGGCCTGTCTAGATCTTTGTTTCTGCAAGGAAATTCAAGAGAATCAAACCTGAAATGGAGTCCAGAAGCTTTTAATAAACAAGGAAAATTAAGATCTCCTAGTCAACTACAGAAGCCAGAGTCTTTTAACCAGCAAGGAAGGCCAGCATCATCCAGCCAACATGGAAAGCCAGAGTCTTCAAGCCAGCAAGAGAAAAAAGGATTTTCTAACCAGCAAGGAAAGCCAGGAGCATCTCACCAACAAGGGAAGCCAGGGTCTTCTAACCAGCAAGGAAGACCAGGATCATCCAGCCAACATGGAAATCCAGAGTCTTCAAGCCAGCAAGGAAAACAAGGATTTTCTAACCAGCAAGGAAAGCCAGGAGCATCTTACCAACAAGGGAAGCCAGGGTCTTCCAACCAGCAAGGAAAGCCAGGAGCATCTCACCAACAAGGAAAGCCAGAGTCTTCTAACCAGCAAGACATAGGGTCTTCTAGCCTTCAGGGGAAGCCAGGATCATCTAGCTATCAAGGAAATCCAGAGTCATCTAGCCAGCAAGGTATACCAGGGTCTTTAGACCAATCAGAAAAACTATGGTCATCCAACCAACAAGGGAATCCAGGATCTTCCAGCCATTGGGAGAAGGAAGGATCTTCTAGGCCACAAGGAAAGCCAGAGTTATCCACTGAGCAAGGAATGCCAGGATTTTCAAACCAACAATGGAACCTAGGGTCTTCGAGCCAGAAAGGAAAACCAGGGTCATCTATCCAACAGAGAATTTCAGGGTCTTCTAGCCAGCAAGGGAATCCAGGATCTTCTAACCAACAATGGAAACTGAGGTCTTTTTACAGTCAAGGAAAAAGCAAAAATGCAGAAAAAACTTTAAATGGCAAAATAATGGCGATTCAGGTTAGTGTTGTTGTTTTTTTTTTTTAATCAATTAATCTCAGGTACTCTTCTTTTTGCAAGACTGAAATGCTTATATGAATATTGTATTAATGACAATTTGCAATGACACTGTTTAACCAAAATGAAACAAATGATGAAGCTGATTTTTTTGCACATAACATCATCACTGAATGCTGTTCTCCTTTATTCCATCTCTCATTTCATCTTACTGTCATTTTCCATTCAAAGATCTCTACCCAACCTAACTGAGATTAACTCAGACTTACACTCCTGCCATGTTTAACTTCGCTGTCCCTTGATATTGCATTCATAATCTATAAATCACTGAAATAAAGAGTTCTCAACTTAAAAATCTGAAATGATGCTTCAATCCGCCATTCAACATTTTCAGTAGTTCTAAACTTATCTACAGATAAAATGGCTTGCCATTCGGCTTCCTCCCATGCCACTGTTGCCCACATGCCATCTGTCTCATTCAGAGCCCTTTAGATTTCTCGGAATGCATTCCTGATAGAAGTTACTATATTTCATTGTAATTTATTATCTAAATATTTAATAAATCATGAACAGCTTGAGGAAAGAGCATCTCTTTTAAAACCTGTATTCTCAGAGCTTAAGATAAATGAGACATGCAATAAATTTGAGGCATAGAATAAGTCTTATAATAATAAGATATATTCTAAGTTTTTAGGTTAAATAAATGAAGACTTAGAAAACACCCTTGCAAACAGGTGACCATGCATGTGATCAGCAGGTCCCCTGTGTCCCCCTCTGCATCCCTCTGTGCTTTATCTTTACTTGCCAGTTGCTCTCTGCACAGTCGGCCTCCACAACTCCCTTTAATGAACACTGCATACTCCCTTTCATTTTTATGTATAAAACTATTTTTGATTGTACTGGGCATCCAACTCAGGACTTTGCACTTTCCAGGCAGGTGCTTGCAATGCTAAGCTATACCTGAGTCCTAAAACATTTTTAAAACACTTACTATATCTCATCATTTAAATGGAAACTGTTTTTACCACATAAATTGGCAATCTCCGTCATATTTGCACAGAAAGCTGTTGTCCTGGCCAGTGTCTCTAGCCTGGCATATAGTTTTATCTTTCAGTAAGATTGGCATCACCTAGGTCTTAATACCACCACTAGTGGATTTTGGAGATTTTAAGGTATCATATTCACTTTTATAATTTTATGTTGATTCTAAAATGGAGAAACACTTATGTGTACTTTACAAACTGTATATAAATGAATGAAATTTGATTTTCATAAAAAGTCTGTAAACCTCATATCAGTGGAAAATATTGAGTTTTTTTATATTTCTTTAATATCTTGACTTTGAGATAACATAAGACTTCCATTAAAAAGATCCCATCATTCCCATTACTGTCTCAGTTCTTGTCAACAAGAAAAGCTTTACACCCACAAGTTTGTGATGTCTGTACCCCACATCCCAAAACATTTTCACCATTTAAATTAATTCTGAAAATCCAAAAATAAAAATAAATAAAAAAGAACATAATTCTGCAAATCCTACTAAATGAATCACTTTTATTTTAATGGCACATGAAAGATCAATAAATTATGCTTATACATACCTTACACTAGCCAATATAACTTTCCCCTGACTTGTTCCTCTGTACAGAATTAAACTTTTATCTGTAATAGCAAATTGAAAGCAGTTGAACATATAATAAGATCAAGGGCTTTGGGCTAAATAGCTCCAAGTTTAACTGCTGCTCGGACATGTAAACCCTTTATGGACTTACGCTTGAATTTAAATGATGTACTACTCTCTTGCTCTCGCCCTGTATGCCTATTGTGACAAATTAGGGTCAAATATATGCTTCTTTTAGTACTGTTATGGAGATTAAATGCAAGAGATCAATACAACTGTCAATAATATACAATGCTTTACTGCTAATAAAGGATCAATGCATATTTTAAGTATATAATATCTGACTTAAATTGAATATCCGTGCCTAATGATCTTTTACCTCCTACAGACTGGCAGTACTGGTAGCAGGAACCCAACTAGAAATATGAAATGTCAAGCTGCCTACAAACCAATCTGTGGTTCTGATGGAAAAACTTATGATAATTGCTGTGTGTTTAATGAGGCAAAGAGGTAAGGGTTTTGTGTTCCTTTATATCAGGAAGTACTATTCTGATCCATAGGGAAGAAGAGAAACTATTTTTTTCTTTTTATGTAGCTTTTCTGTCAGTAGTTGCTTGTCTATTATTTGTCAAAGGAAGGACTAATAATAGCTATTTCTTGAATGATAAATTCTGTCAATCTCTTGGAGGATGTGGTTTGCTCAGATATTAAAGTAAGTTTCTTTTATGCTATTGATTTACCAAGCACTCATTGAGTACACATCATGTTCCAGGCAGTAATTTAAGAACTGGAGATAAAATTGAGAACTAACTACACTGAAATTCCTGCTTGCTTGAATTTTATTTTTGCAACAGAAAAGAAACAAATAACCACACCAGAAGATAAAGACAACTGCAAAGCACCTGGATTATTCATTGTTGCTTACTAAATTATATTCAAATCATAAAGCCAGAGGTTGGCTTTGGTGCATGATCTAAAGCTTCAACAGTTATGCTGTCTGTAACAAATAAATTAATTTTAAGGTTGTTAAAAATATTGTAACATGTTGTTAAGAGAGGTCTACATATTTAAATCATCAGAATGTTTATATTTGCAACTATCAAAAAGAAAAATAAGGTAATAATGAAATCTCTCTTATTTTCAAAAATTCTCAAATGTAATAAGCACTTAGTATAAATCATTAATGTACAAAAATGTTAACATAAGCCCCACCAAGGCTACACAGAATTAGAAAGGGCATCAATGCCAGTACTCTCATAATATCAAGAAAGCACATGGCACAGAGATGAAAGGAACTAACGGCAAGTGTACAATTTCTCTGACCAGTCACTGAGAACCAGGCAAACCAACAAGTAAGTCGACTATTTTTGCATATAATTTTCAGGTTGTGTGTGGGTGCATGCATGTATTGGTCATTGATTTCTCTATTTTATTTTCAGGTTGAGTAATGGAGCATTGAAACTAAACCATGCAGGAAAATGCTAGGCACTTGCGTGAGCCAAGTTAACCTGGAACTTCAAGATCCACTTACAATTCTGCTCTCACAGTGGATTTTCTTAGGAGTTCAACTAGGTTCTCACGGCTCTGACAGAGCCTGTGTTATTTTTTGTTTTCTTTCACTACAAATAAAGTCAATTCCATAGTAGCTTTTGATTCCTAGGATGATTTTGTTGGTTATACATTCTGGAGTCTTAATTAGTGTTTCCAACCTTCCCGAACCAAAACAGCTGTGAATACTGTTCTCTCTTTCAGGACTTCCGTCAGCAATCTGTAAACTCTGACAGATACAACAATTCAAGGGATTCCTGCAAGACATAAAGATATTCCACTCTAAAAATATAGAGACTGTAAGTATATGCTGGAGCTAAAGAAATCTCTCAGTTTTAAAATACATTTCAGGATTTTCT